AGCACAGTCGTTTATCCATTAGTTATTGGACCGGATGAACCCAATTCTGCATGCGCGTGAAATATACGTCAAAGAATCTCGGTCTCCTTCAGGGTCTAGGATGAGGAGTATTATGGATCTAAAAGAGGACTGGATGGGAAGGAATCATAAAAGGCGGCGAGGGAAAGGACCGCTTTGAGAATGTACCTATACAATTTTTGGTAGTGGATGCGATGCGAAGGTATTAGAATATGATGCAATAATACACCCAAAAACACACACATACATACATACATATTATTTTTTGTACAGTTAAGATTGCACTAATGTTAAGCTCAAATTGTTCGTCCGCATTCAGCGTCTACACGGGTCATGTAATTCATATTTTTATTTTTAATTTATTTACTTAAATAGCTAATAGTAACTATTATAGCTCGACAATAACAATGCACATATATGACAGTTTATAATAAAATTGGATAATTAGTTGTAGTACATATATTTATATATATATATATATATATATATATACAATGCACCTTGTATATTTTACAATAAGAATATAACATTATATTTATACCAAGTGTTATGAAAGTTGTTAAAATTTAAAATATTTTATACATTTTTAATATTATCTAACTACAATGATAAAAAAAAAAAAAAAAAAAAAAAAAGGAATATCAATAACAATATTATAATAAACGCATTAAAGTGTATAATTATTAGCATAATTAGAATAATTATACAATTTAGGCATTATTTAGGAAGTGTAAAAATGGCAATAGGCAATTTCATATGAAGGTTGGCAAAAGTATTAATGGCTTAGTTATATTTTTAGGCGATTTGTAGGTGATGTGTTGGCGGTGATGTGACAAATCATATATTGTGTTTGTTAATAGCTTGGAAGTCATAATTCTTAAATACGGTACTTTTATATTGGAAGTGGGATGTTTATTTAATTTGGCTGCCCTACATTTTTTGTGATTTTTTATGATATATTAATAAACTGTATAGCCTATATAAGAAGCTGTACGCGGCCCTGAGCATAGAGAGCACTTTGAAGTATTCAATAGTACTTTTGTGCATTCTAATGATAAATGGTTATCGTCACATTTGACAAAGATTACTTAGCATAAATTACTTGTACGGAAGTAAGATTGGCACTGTTTGCATTGTTTGCATTTGTATTGTCATTTTGTCTTGAAAATTTGATTTTAATTTTAATAAGGAGAAGTAGGTCCAGTTTAAAAATCTCACTATTATTATATGTAACTTTTTGATCGATCCGAAAAAACAGGCAGTAGGAGTTTAGTGATACGATGTAGGTAATTCGTGAAATAAATAACTTCGTGTCCTTTATTTGTAGGTTTGTATTTTTTTTAATAGAAGCAGACGGGTTAAGGTACCTGATGAATACACCGTACGGTTTTAATGACCTGGGCAAAAAATGTGTGGAATTCGATATGTTCGTTATCTACTAGGTATTTATAAGTATCATTGTAAGTAATTACCTTGGCTGTGCAAATAATCAAATATTTAGGGGTTATTTTAAAATAAATGCTCGACGGGACGGCGATATCAAATTGTGCCTTATTGAGTGCAGAGAATTCGTTGCCTCCACTTATGTAAAAGGGAGGTATTTGAAATTTGGTACTTAGAGAAGATTCCATGCTGGTGGACGGTGTATTATAATACAAATAATATCAATGCCTAAAATATATGTATATAAAGAACTATAAATTATCACCATAAAATGTCTGTATAATATAACACATATATATATATACATACATAAAGTTATTTATTTCTTATCCGAATTACGTTATATGTGTAATCCCTTCTAACCTACCACAATATTCATATCATAGGTACAATAATACGCGCGGTTCAGGTAATTGAAATTCTTTCACCCTCGATACGCCTCTATTTTTACCCTAGAACAATATTTTGTTATTAAGATCCCACTTCCGAAACTCAGAAAATGATTATACATATATATATGATTACGTTTATACAGATTGGTATATTCACTCAAATTTTTGGTAGATTGTCGACCAATAGACAGGAGACATTCTAAATTTATATTATAATTGTATGATTAGACCGTTCTGCCGTCATTATTAATTTGTAATCTGATTGAATTGATAAATATATTTAATTTATCATATATTTAAATGTTTTCTCAAGCGCACCATCACATCGACCCTCACCACTAATCAATTGTATTTATTATTAATAATAATGATAATAATAATAATAATAATAATAATAAAAATGTCAAACCGTTATTAAATTAAACATAACAGTTTAAATAATCTGGTCTATAGTTTTGTCAGATAAAAGTTTTTATTTTGGAGAAATATATTACGTTTTACTATCTAGTGCATTTTAGATACGCGTATACGTAATATGTATATACCGATAAACATAATTGAGACATAAATTATTTTGTTTGTATTGATATGCAATTTAGAAGTTTTAAAACCTTCATTGCAACATTTCGTTTTTTATTGTTCACATTAAATTTAGTTTTTGAAATTGGACGAAATTAAAACAAACAAAACTCAGTTATCATGCAATACAGTACGTAATAAAAGAAAAACAATTTTATCATTTTATATTATATTATTATTAATATTAAAGCAAAATAAGTATATTTCAGTTAAAAAAAAAAAGCACAACGTACATGCCATTTAGAACAGTTACTATTCTAAAGTTTAATAACGTGCAAGCGTAATTATTTAAACGACTCATTAAAAAATGCTCTTTCTACGCAACAGCCAACATCATTTCTTGGTTATTATTTTGTTTTCAAGTATACATTAAATTAAAAATAAAAATATAAATTAAATTAATGCTTCGAAAAATGTTACGCATTACTGATAATTTTGTTTTCTTAAATCTTGAAGTGTATACATTTCTATGAAAATACTTGCTTTATATTACACACTTTCATAGTATATTGAAATTGTATATAAAAAATAAATAAAAATATACGACCACAAACACATACCAACATTTGGTGCAGTGGACTTAATAGCATTGTCTACAGAATGTATTTCGTATAAATATAAAGTGATACTCTGATTGATCAGATTTAAAGTATATATTAAATACTATCTCTCGATTACTCCTTTCTCACCACATCACTTCATTATATATATGTTCCGTTATAAGAAATTTTTAAATTAGTAAATTTACACCTTCAATTAGAAAACATGTATTATATATTTAATATTTATTCAACATAGATCATGGATAAAAAATGTTATTGTTTTGATGCAAGTTCCAACAATATATAGAAATTACTTGATATTAATAATCACTATGGCACTGAGCATTTACCCAAACTATCATTTTCGTTTCTACACTATTTTAGTTATAAAAGTTTTCCTTTTTATTTATTAGTTTTGTAGGTATTATTATTATTTGTTTTAAAAAAAAAAAAGTTTGTTTTATTTTCATTAAAACTAAATGTTAATATACTATAATATTTTATTTCAAATGAAAGACCTTGATAATACATGAAAAAAAATATATCTAATATATACGTACATATAATACATTATTGTATATAATATAAATATTTAATCGACTACGATTAATAGCATTTTTTTTAACACTTTTCATTTATTATTGAAGTAATGAGTAAAATATTTTATATAATTTAGTAACATACGAGTATGTGTAAAAATAATTGTTTATCAATTCAATCTATAAAGAATATAAAGTTACGAAATTTCGTTTTTATAAATGCAAAAAAAATTATAAAAATAATTATTATAAAACATAAAGAAATTTACTGATACTTATGAAACATATAACATATTAATGGTACCTATTTTATTCTATGTGTATATACGACATAAAGATTTTTATCTAAATTAAATTATTTGCTAGAAGCTTGAGTTAATCTAATGCCTTGAGTTATTTTTTTTCCTATCTATAGCTTAAAATAAAGTAGATGGGAGTGTAAGAGCATCAATGGATTTACAAGTATTTATCTAAGAAAGACAAAACAATGACATTACGTAATAAGATATTAGTTTCATTGTGTAAACTATATTATGGTTAAGCAAATATACTAGAACAGTATTATTCTTGAAATACCGAATTAATTGCTTTTTTCTTTTCTTTTACTTTAAAGTATTTAGTAAAGCTGTTACATATTAAAGCTTAACCTAAATTACGTAAATATATTAGACAGAGATTACACTAAAAAGATTAAGTAATGAAGCTGGAAGGGCAAGTTGAAGAGTAAAGATATGATTGGAAAGAATGTAAAAGAACAAGAATTGAGGAAGAGCAATAAACATTGTATTTTTAACCTCAAATAGACAACGTTATTATTTAGATAATTAAATTTTCAACGCATGGTTTTACTGGCTATATTTTTTTTTTAAATATTTAAATAATATAGATAGATATAACCAATTTAATTTAAAACTAATAATTGATACGTGTGTGCAATACACTTGTTATAGGTAAATAGGTCAATGAAGAAATACAATTATTTTTTATTATTTGCACGGATTGTGTCTTAACACTATTATGTAAATACTATTTCATATATGAAAATGAAAGTTGTAAGAGACAATTACAAATACACATGCCTTTGAACAAATGTACACTCATAACATTTAGTTAGATGCTTAACATTTAGATGTTTTTATTTTTATCCTCCATCACTGAGATCGTTCTCAAAACCACTAATAATCTATAATTATGTAAAGAAAACAGGGAAATATTATAATAGAGCTATTAGGTCAAACTCGAAAATACTGTAAAATAAAAAAATAAAAAGCGATATGATTTTTGAATTACGTTGACTGAATTGGATGCAGTTAGGTCAACCGTCTGTGACGTCACCGTAGTTACTATCAACGTATAGAACACGTACTATAAAATCTTTCAAACAAAATAAAATAAGTCTTATCGAAATTTAATTATTATTTTGTTATGACTTTTAGTAAAAAAGTGAAATTCACGTGATATAAAGGAGTAAAGTAGTAGTAGGTAGGATAGGTGGCGAAAAACTGTTTGGAAAACGGTGTACAACGAAAGAGGGAGTTTATTCAGTGATAGCACGGTTTTGGTAAGTGTTTCAACAAAGTTGTTTTTTCATTCCCAAAAAATCAAAAAATAACCGCTTAAAGACCTTAGCGACGGGGCACAATGGCATGGATACCGCACACGATACCGAGGTCAACGTTACACGCTTTTTCCGCGAGACAGTCGTCGGACGTCACGGACGCCACGGATGGTAACGGTATCAGATCGGACGACTTCGGGTGGGCGCGACGGACGCCGAAGCCACTGTGGACGTTGACGGTGGATGCGATGGCCGCCGATTTCGCACTGTTCCCGCGCGCGCTGATGGACGCGTTGACCCCGACGAACGCGGCGTACCTGGCTGAGACGCTGGATACCGGATTGCCAGTGGCCACGGTCGAACACGTTCTCGTGGACGAATATTGGCGCCGGCGGCTCAACCAACTGCCACTGCGACAGCGACCGATCGGAGCGCCCGTGACCGCTGTCGCTGAGCCGGCCAGGACCGTGTGCCTGAACGAGCTGGCCAGCCGTGCCGTAGAGGACTTGGAATCGGGGCGCACAGCCGAAGGGTGGCCGGATGAGCTGTTGGTCTTCGGCCGGCACGTGACCGCGCTGCGCGTGGGCCAGTTGCGCACATCCGAACCGGCCGACCGCAACGACAGCACGTTCGGCGACCCGGTGCGCGCGGACGTCGGCGCCGTGCTCGGTGGTCTGCCCGAGCTGCGGTCGCTGAGCCTGTGCTTCGGCCTGCCACCGCTAGGCGCCCGGTACCACGGGCTGACTGTGGCCGATTTGGACGCGTTCGGCCGCGGCCTGACCGCGCTGCCCCGTCTCACCGCGCTGGCTGTCACGGGAAGCCGCGTGGACGCGACGCGGTTCGAAACGTTATCGCCACACCTGGCGTTGTGCGACCGGCTCGAGGAAGTCGACCTGTCGCACTGCTGGCTGAAGTGCGCGGGTGCCGCGTCCGTGGCCTGTTACGCGGCCACGGCCCGTTCATTGCGGTCGGTCACGCTACGCGATAACGGCGTGGCCGCGGACGGCGTCCAATCGCTGGCGTTCATGTCCGTGGCCAGGCGGCGAAACGGTTATCCGGCGATCGAGTTGAATTTAGGTACGGCGCTCGAGTGATCGTACACGAAAATGAAAGCGCTTTGAACGGGTTACCGAAGTGTTTCTCAACCTTTGTATTATGGCGACACACTGTTAAAATGTTTCATACTTTGTGACACACAAAAATAAAAATAAGAATAATAGGCAATATTATATATTTATAATTAATTGATAATGTAAAATATAAATATACTATATAGTATACACTGTTTAAAAATAAATATAGATAAACCAACGTTTTTTTAATTATAATTATGATAATGATAATATTTATTTAATGTTGATAGCTGATAATATATTTTTATTCATCATAGAAATCATATCAAATACCCATTAATTTTTTTAAATAGTGTCAACAATGTTCATACATTTTGTGTCATTCAATATTAATATTTCACGTGACACATTTGTACTTAACCGGTGACACATCAGTATGTCGTAACACATCGGTTGAGAAACATTGGGTTACCGTATTTCGATTGCCGACGGTTTTACAATCGGGCGAAACGACGAACAACGTGTTGAATTTCAACCGGAGGTGGGGGATAGGATTAGCAGTTTGAATTTTTTTCCGATAAAACCACTCGTTTGGCGTTCTGAAACTCAATATCGCATTCCCATACTTGGATACATGGACGTATTTTAAGGAGGGGGGAAGGGGCGATCGTCTTGAATCCGTATTTAACGAATTGATTATATGTGAGATACAAATTTCAAATTTTTTTTAACGTCGATCATTTTATAACGAAATGAAATTGCGCGTGGCTGTGAATACTGATTGAGCTTTTTGTCGGGTCCATACTTAATGAAAAATCAAATAAAACACAAGCGTAACTTTCAGAACACAAACAGTTGTTATGAAAGAACTACACGAAAGTCGATTCTAACTGGATCCGGCATTAGATTAAAAATATATCCCATCGAATCTTGATCTAACTTAATATTAATTGTTTGCGTATTGTTAACGGTCTAGGCATGAATAACATTACGGATATCGGTGCCAGATATTTAGCATCCGCGTTAGCGTCTGGAACCCAACCATTTACTAAACTTCGGATTGGTACTTGTAACATATCCGAGGTCGGAGGCGTAAATATAGTTGAATCATTAGCATATGACCAAGGATTGCGTGCATTGGAAATGAATAATAATCCATTAACATTGAAAGTCGGTATTGCATTACACGCGGCGTTGAAAACGAATTTCAATATCGAATATTTGTCGACTCAAAATTGCGAATTTCCGGCTAGAATGGCACAGTTCTTCAACACCATAGCATATTACAACCGAAACAATAAACGTACTAAATTAAAATATTTAAATATTGAGGATTTATACGATGAAATCGAAGAGGAAAATGTTTCCAGCGAGTGATGCGTCGTGTCAGTTAAATTAACTGAAAATGTGGAGGAAAACTTGAATAATCATATTTTATCAAGAAAGATTACTGAATGGTATACAATTACATATAAATACACATTAAAGTGTCGTTATTTTTCAAGACTTAAAATTTAAGGAATGCCTCATGAGAATTTTTTCTACGGTGCTAAATATAAGATCTACACAATTTGAGCTTTACGTAACATGAATAACAGAATGCGCTCTAATCTCAAAATGAAGAAAAAATTTGTAGTTTTTTATATATTAACGCATAAGCTTTGATTTTTTTAAATAGTCCTCAAGAACTTTTTTATAGAAGTTATTCACTAAAAAAGTATTCTAATACATTTTTCGTACATTCAATGTTTCTTTTTGTATAATCTAAAAGAACACAAAGAAAGTAATATTTTGAGAAAAATGCCCATTTTTTAGATTTTATGCAATTATTACTTTAAATATTAAATGTATAAAAAGAATTGTATACTGCTAAAGTTGATCCAATTTATTTTTACTAAAATACATGTGTATATAACAGTTTGGGTTAAGGTAACTCACTTTGATGAAATTGTGAAAACATTTTAAAATAACTAATTTTTCTGAAAAACAAATTTAATAATATGAAAAATATTATACTAATAGTTATATTACCGGGAAAAGTTCACATTTATATACATAAATTATTATAATTATATATATATATATATTATACATATTCAGTATTTCATAGACTTGTTTTAAAATTTTAATATAATACATTTGTATCTTTTTTTTTAGTTAGAAAACCAAACTTACAAGTTGATATTTATTTCTATTATTAAGTAAAAAAAAAAAAAAAACATAAAAATAAATTCAGATTTTACTTGTGTAAATTTATATTTTTATACGAACATAAATTGCGGAACGAGCATATTTTGTATATTTTACATATTATGTAAATCTCGTTCCAAGATATTTTTGATAGTAATATTAGTGTTGCGATTTGAAAAATTGAATTGATTCGAAATTGAAAACCCACTGTAATTTGACTGGTAAAAATATTTATTTGAACAGAAAAACAAAATAATTTTGTTTTTAAATTAATAATACTATATATTTAATTTCAATTATTAAATAATGAAAATAATTCATGTAGCCCCATAGGCGAAAGCGCGATATCGTGACGATCAGTTTTGACAAAATCATCAAAAAATTAAATACAGTGGTCGCCGCTTAATGTAATCGCGGTTAATGTTATCAAACGTTTATTGTTATCGAAAAGTATAAGTACGGGCCGGATGTATACTTATATGTGTAAATTATGACGGCTATTGTAATCAATAAGCCTCATAATATTATCAGTTTGAGGTCATAAAATCATAATTTTGTAACATACAATCAAAGTTTTCGTCGTATGTCTCGAATATAAATGTCTATACCGTTATTTATTTACCGTATATTTATTTACCTTTCGTTCATATAGCATTAAGATAGTATCGTTGCTGCCCGTCGACCATTATCACGTTTGTATGTATCTGTATCGCGTGTGAGTAAAAATGAGTAAAAAACAAAAAATAAGTGACCTGACAATTTATGATAAAATTTTAATACTACAACGATACGACAATTTACCAAAAATGGGACAATGAGAAGCAGCTATAAAACTACAAATTTCCCAACCATTATTGTATAAATTATTAAAAAAACGTATTGAAATAGAAAATTTAGCAACACTAAATTATTTAAAAATCCAAACATAAAGAGGATACGCAGTGAGAAAGAAGAACAGATCGAATCAGCATTAACATTATGGTTTATTAATATTAGAAAAAATGATGCACGCATTAATAGTCCAATATTGCGTCAAAAGCTGAAGAACTTGCAAAAAAAAATGGGTATAGAAAATTTTATTGCCTCAGAAGGATGGTTTCATCGCTGGATAAAACGTGAAAATATTGTATACAAATGAACGTACGGAGAACAAAAATACGCGGATTTCTCGGCAGCAGAAAATTGAATAAAAACTGAATGGTCAAAAATTATTTCAGAATATACGCCCGACAATGCTTATAATGCTGATGAAACTAGATTATTTATCGTGCCTTGCCTGAGCATACTTATTTATTCAAAAATGAAAACGCAAAATGCAGTAAAATAGCAAAAGAGCGCATCACTGTCCTATGTTGTACACGTATGTTAGGTAAAAAACAAAAACTTTTGGTTATAGGGAAACGTAAAAATCCTCGTTGTTTTAAATCAGTTAAATGTTTACCAGTTGATTATTATACCAACACAAATGCTTGGATGACATCAATTATTTTTATTGAGTGATTAATAAAGAGGGATAAACAATTAAATAATAAAATCGTTTTACATATGTATAATATTTATTTACATTTAATTTAATTTTTTTTTAATGTTATATTTTTAATAACTATGTATTATGATTACAAAATTTGACGCAACACTACATTATTCATTTTTTTTTTATTTAACGTAGGTTTTATTATTATTTATAATTTTCATTTAATGTTATCAATCGGATTATGTTATCAGTTATGTATCGTACCAACGTGATTACATTAAGCGGCGACCACTGTATAAATAAATTACTCGTATATTCAAACATCATATTAAGATCAACACATAGGTCATTCAAAATGGTTAAGCACGCAGGGACTTGAAATAGTATAGATAAGTGGTCTCAAAAAACTCAAATTACCAACAGGTTATATATATTTATGTCAAAGGTTCGCGAAACAATTTTTTTTTATTTATTTTAATATGAAATCTAAAATAAACAAAAAAATTAAAACAAAATGTATTTCTTTTATTGATTAAAATTATGACAAAATTGTACTTTGTATTGTGTATTGATTTCTTTTTATAATAATAATTATAATTTATTTTTATTTTCGAGCTGCACTTATTACTTGACATCTCTTATTTTGTAAAAATATAAAAACTGTAAAAATATAATATAAAACAAGAAAAAAAAAATCAATATTTTTGAACAAATAAATATTCAATGCGAGTCACATCGAATGGGCTCGCAGACTGTGTATTTGAAACTACTAATAAAAATCATCTTCAGTTTTTATGGTAAAAATTGTTGTTTTTCTGAACGATTATAAACACCAAAAAGATCGTATTATAAAAACGATGGTTCTATTGAAATTTCAAGATAAAATTTAAGTTTATTTCAAAAAATCATAGCCATAATTTGGATATAATAAATACATACATTGAATATATATCTGGGATGACACATCTCCAGTAGATTAAAAAGTGTAATATAAAATATATATTTTCATAATTAACAAATATATGAAGAAAATAGTCGTAAAAAAATAATTTTGTCGAATAAATTAAATAATTTGTATTTTACTATTTTAGTGAGAAAATAATAGATTTACAAGAAAGGGTAAAAAATATTTTTTTATATACATTAGTTAAGGCTATAATTAAAGTTCCATACATTTTTACAATACAGTCAATATTTTTTGAGTTAAACTTGAAAAACCAACTACCTTAAATGAAATTTTTTCTTCGCTCTTGCGGTGTGAAAAGGATGTATGACATAATGACTAAATTAATTGCAAAATGAAAGGGTCTTTCCTCGACAATTTTAAATTTATAAAATATAGGAACACTCTATTATATTAATAATATGCATCGGATAAAGATATTAAAATTACTAATCGCAGTTTTGAATGACGCAACGCGAGTGGATACAGATTCGTTTGACGAAGAAACGTGGTATGTTTTTGATGTTGACTATCGGGGACAATGCGAAGAAAAGCAAACTAGTTCCCTGCCTTTGTTATGGCGCTCGTATCAAATGCAATATCTAAGGTTCGACGCACTCCGCAACATCATGAATACTGTTCACTTTATCCGGGACCCACGGCCGACCATCCCGTTCGATCTTCTTCCGGCACACTGATAATTTTTGGTCACTAAATGATTCGATTAATATCAGCAGCGAGTTTTCCAGCGATTTAATTGCACCCGTAACATGTGCAACGGTTTAGGACAGCCGGTTCAATTACAGGCAACAGAGCCGATTTTCCGGGTGACGGATACTAAATTCCACTAATTTTCCACCGACCGCAATGCATATGATATCGTGCCGGGGATATAATATATACATATATTATCTCCGAATCCTTTTCCGTGTACAATTGTAATTATTTGGTTTGCTCGTCACGGCAATAGTCAATTAAATTAATTTCGTCTTGCAGTCCGGCGAGAGGACATCGAGAGTGTGCACGGTAGCGGAAATAACATTATACATACTATGACATACTGGTATAATAGTCTTATTAAAATCTATTAGATTCGACCTGAAACCTAAACGCACATGTCGCTGAGAACCGTTTCGCAAATGAATACATATCATACCAAATCTGGTTACGCGAAACATAACACTGAACATTTGCATAAACAAAGTATAAGTTATTACATTTATATACATCAGAGATTATTTACAATATTTATTTCGTTAAGGAAATTTAGAATTTTTATAGTGTTGTCTTCATGAAGAGCTTATTCTAAGTTATCTAGTACTGATAGGATATTTCGGATGTTTTAAAAACTGGGCAGTCTTGGGTGATGTTTTGCATAGTTACATCTACATGACATTTTTTGCATATGGGTGTTGGATCTTAACTAATTAGGTGTGAAGGGTGATATTTGTTTTGTAAGAACACAATGATAAAACGGAAATCGTTTGTTGCACAGTTATGAGTACATAACTATAACTATACACTATTATTATTGATACGAAAAAAAATTAAAATAAATATTCAATAGGAATCAGTATCATTGTAGGTGGCTGCATTAAAATCACGTGCTTGATTTACTAGCGGTCAGTCCGAATTGCAAGATCGGTAGGGCTAACTACAAAAATTTAATTAAGGAAAAAAGCTATCACAGTTAAGGACCAAATATTAGAAATTAAACGGCTGTATGCGTGTATATGAGATGTAATAAGATGTACGGTAAATTATGATACA